ATTATATAATCTCTGCCCTGAGTCGTAAAATAAATAATGCAATAAAATTGAGTCATTATTTAATTAAGAATCTCTCTCTCTCTCTCTCTCCCTCTCTCTCTCTCTCTCTTTCACACAAACGCACGCACACACACAAATACACAATGCGCTGATCCTATAAATGTTTTTTCCTCCATTTTTTACCTATGTGTACATATGTAAATTTAATTTTCTCGTTCTCTTCTATATGCTGTATTGTTCTTCATATAAATATGTATAAAACTTCTCCACGTGTTGAATTCATTTCTTTTGAAAATGTTGAAGTCGTTTTTTTAATATTTTCTACCTCCCCCACCACAATTCTTAAACACACGCATCTGCAAAAAGTGTTAGCCGCAACGATTCACACTCCTTAACACCGCCCGCTACAAGTCTTTCGCTCCAAATACGAGATGAACCTTGACACGCGTATTATACCGACTGCCGCAGACGACATTACACTGCCAAATTAAGGTGTTGAAAAAAGAATACAATTAATTTCGTCGATCACAGACGCGCTAATGTAATTTGCTTCGTTGCTTATTTAATCTGCGTTGATTCTAAACTTCGTAATTAACGGCACAGAAATGAAGCCATCAGACGATAATTAAATGAAGAAAACAATTTAGCGCGATTGCTGTTGCCTCTGTGTTTACGTTTACTCATGTGTGCGTATGGGTGTCACTTTTGTATAATGGATACTTATGAGTGCATCTGTATATGTGAATGTGTGTGTATATGTGTGTGCCATTTTCACATACGTGGTTACTGATAAGTATGTGTATATATGCGCCGGTATATGTGTGCATCTGGTGCTTATTTCTTTAATCATAATATTCGACTATTTCTGTCCACGCCCAACCCCAACCCCCCAAAAAAACGAATCAATTAATCATTAAATATGGTTCGTTTCAGTGGTTACAGTTAAGTAGCCATAAATGCGTAGCTTCGTTGTAAGTGCAGGGTTGTTGATACTTGTTATCATAGACTGACTGAGACGATTGGGAATTCTAAGACCAATAAATGGGGCGTCATGTTTCTCCGGAACCGAATCATTACGATTCGGTTCCGGAGAAACATGACGCCCCCATTCCAAATGCCTAAACGATAATCTTTGTTATCATAAACTTATTAAAATATGCGTGTTTTAGGGAAATGAACTGACCATTAAGAAAGAAACCTAGTCAAAAATCAAAGATTACTTCTTTTCCTTATTTGGGCCTGGAAGTTAAAATTCAAAGATTTTGACCAGAATGTTCACGCTTCAAGATAAAAGTCCTAGTACACAGAATTTCTGCCTTTAATTGCTGGGAAAAATTATTGGTCAACTATGGATCAATTTCTGGATTCTTGTCAACGGTTCACCGTTCAGATGGTTCGCAGCGAGCCTTGTCTTGCCTTCAGCCGATGCCGGCAAAATTCAATTATCCCTAGGTCATGGGGGTCCGTCTCTCAAGCAGCACCTTCTAATTACAATAATAATAGCGTAAGTGGTATAAACTGACAATTGCGGCAATAGCGATGAAACTGGATAATGTCTGCCCCTAACCTACGCACAAGTGTTTAGAAATTCCTACAGAAGGGTGTGAAGGAAAGCGAGAAGAAAGAATTAAACATCAACTGTAAGAATACACAATGCATAATTGTTAGCATATGGCTGAACCCAAAATGCAAATTAAGTACAAAAATTTAAATATCTGGGAAGTGTTTTGACAGAGTACGGAAAGTGTGACAGTAAAATTTGAAGGCACATTGGGATAGCCAAAGATGCCTTCCAAAAGTTAAGCAGAGTATTAAGAAACAGAAAAACTTCGTTAGAAACAAAGAAAAGGGTACTGAACAATCACGTGGTACCTGTCTTCCTATATAGCAGTGAATGCTGGACAATCGCCTCAAACATGAAGAAGTGACTAGAAGCAAGGTAAATGTGGTTCTACAGAAGTATGCTGAGGATATCATAGACTGAATATGTGAGCAACGACGAAGTTTTAGAGAAAATGGAAACAAAAAGAAAAAGGATTCTTACATTCAGAAGGAGACAGTTGAAATTTCTAGGGCACATGAGGAAAGAAGGTTTGGAAAATCAGATACATGCTAAAACGCAATCGTCACTCCTGGCGATTGTTTAAGTATAAAACAGACTGTCACTGCTAGGTGTTGACTCCAATGTCCACTTTCACAACCTTCGAAATTTTGGTTAAAAGTTGTTTTTATTGCGTCAACTGGTGATCATAAATTAGTATGGGAAATTTTAGCGTCTTTTTTATGGTGAAAAACATTGATCTGAAAATTCTTGCAAAAATCAAATTGCCGGATTTTAATGTAACTTTCAGGATTTATTCACAAATTAAATTATTTTTTTAAATGTTTCTTTATTAGAAAATCTTTTTTCTTTTTTACATCTACTGTCCCCTCCCCTTAAATAATTTTATGAAATTTTGAGAAATTCATTTTTGTAGCGCTTACTGTTTATATTAGTTATAAACAGAAGTCCTTGGAGAATTTAAATCATCAATTTTTTATTAAACAGGATCCTCAATTATAGGAAATCTTCCCTGAATCGTGAAAGAAAAAATGCAATAAAACTAAGATTATTTAATTAGAAAAGTTTTTAATTGCTTTTATGAATAAGATACATTATGGGCACTATTGTTTTTAAAAAATTTTTTTCGATGAATAACGAATTTTTATGAATTGTTTTCATTTTTTAAATTTTAATTATAATAATTTATAAAGTTTTAAATCTTTTAAAATTCTGTATTAATTTGTAGCGGTTAGGTGATATTGTTATTAAGTGAAAACTATATTTGGTAATCATAAATGGAAAAGTTTATTACAATTCAGCGAGCTCAGTATTTTAAAAAGAATTTTTTAAAAATTTATGTCTGTATAAACTTACTGGTTTTTGTAAATACGGACTTCTATATACGATATTAACAAAAAATAAGAACGGTAACTATAGTAAATTTAAAATTTATTTATCATCAAACGTCTTCGTAAGTAAGCAAAAATTTCTATAAAATATTAGATTACTTAGAATATATTCCTATATTTTCAAGATTACTGGGTAGTTAAAAATCTGTATAAAAAGAGCACTCGGGTTATATTTGGCAATTTTTGCATTTATATCTCCCATTGAAAAATCCCCAAATATAAGTTTATCGAGAAAGTTGTAGCACCTCCTAAAAGCACGCACCTGCGTGTTAAAAATGCTTTTCTGCAATATTTTAAACTAAAAGTAATATTTGTTTCAAATTAATTAAAATCAGTTAATCTTCGACAAATAAAAATTAAGAAAAGTATATTCTATTTTTGAAAGATTTTTTTAATAAAGAGAATCATGTGTTGACAGATTTGTCAATATGGCTGATTTTAACGATTAAAAAAAATCCAATCAATTTAAATTCACTTTGAAATAAAGCAAGCTCTTTTGCTTATTAGAAATGCTAAAGTTTTAGCTTGTAATTAAAACTAAAATAAAAGCTTCAAAAAATATTTTTTTTCACTTTTAAAATTCATTTTAAGCCTTAGGTATCACTTTTCTTAGAAAGTACATACATACATATATATATATATATATATATATATATATATATATATATATATATATAATCAAATAAATGAATATAAATAAATGTACATGCAAGTGTTTACATAAAATATATATATATATATATATATATATATATATTTGTTTTTCCTTTTTCTTTTACCTTTTCATCTTTCTTCTTCTTCTTTCTTTATTCTTTAAAGTTTAAAATTTTTAAGCTTTTTGTTTTATTTCTTCATTCCTTGACGTTGATAAATCCTGCAACGAATTTCTTGTAGAGTGAAATAGCTATTCAAATGGAGTCATTTTGAATTTTTGTTCTATGTAATTTATATATATATATATATATATATATATATATATATATATATATATATATATATATATATGCATTCTCAGGTGCAAGTAAAACAGTGTTCAATGCAAAATAAGAGCTATTAAGTATATATTAATAAATATACTTAATACCGCACGCCGACAGTACGACTTGGAGTTTTATACACCTAGCATTCTTCAGGCTTCAATTGGGCTGAGTCTCTCGGTTTCGTGGTGTTATTTGGGTATTAGTGTTGTTAAATATTTGATCGTATTATAATCTAAATTTGAATTTAAAATTACACTTAGAATTGAAAATTAAAAATTAGAAAATATAATTTCAGTTTAAAAATGACGTCTACGGACGGTGCTGTTAAACAGTAGTTTAAAGTCAAGGAGGGTAACTTTTTTTTTTGCTTACACACACACACACACACACACACACACATATATATATATATATATATATATATATATATATATATATATAGTCTTCTTTCTTCCACCATCACTACTACAAACACATTCACTCAAGAAACGAATATACAAAACCGGAAACATGAAAATGTTCTGTATAAGAATCTCTCATTAAATTTTCTCGTTTTGAGCTTTTCTTTCCTTTCCCTCAGTCCAATTGAAGCCACTTATTTACGTCACAGAAATTTGATTTAATCCGCCGAGAAGGAAAGAACGCCGGGCGCACAATTACCCGCAGCCAATCACGACTTTGTTCGTGCAATAAAATATTTGTACAATAAAATATTTCCTATGATCAAAAAACATGTCTCATAAATAAATATTTTCTCTTTAAATAATTTAATTTCTATTACTGAAATTAAATTTTGATAATAAACAAAAGCGTCTGATTTGTTGTCGGCAATTTATTGGATGACAGTTCTGAGTACATATTGTTTACCACAAGGCTTGTCTTCGGGCGAGACATTTATATGGATCCGTATCCCAGGCAGCACCAGTTCATAGCACTAACGGCGTAGAGTCAATGGAACAGCCTGACGTAGGCGGCAAGGTCGATAGAACTAAGCAGTATGTGTACTTATCCACGCACAAATAAATCTAGCTTCTCATGTGGAAGTTATACTCGTCTAAATTTAACCATTACGACCATATCACGATGAAATGCCGGTTCCGGTGCGATCATCGAAGTTAAGCAGCTTCGAGCCTGGTCTATAGTTAGATAGATGACCGCTTGGAAATACCAGGTGATATAAGCTTGGATATGTGGGGGTGTAATGGATAATGGCTCGGTATTGTTAATTGGAGAACCAAGTTCTAATTCCATTTGGGTTCGTTATATTCACTTATGGGCAAAATAGCCTTGGGAAAGATATAGATCCACTACTTCTCCCCACATCTATGGGTTAATTAGTAAGATTTGAATCAGTAAATCATTATTAGTTTTTAAAAACTTCTTACAATCTAAAAATATTTTCTGGCTTTAAATAACCAGCCAAGGGTTGATAAGCCGTAGAAAACGAATCAATGAATCAAGTGAAGACATTTGGCTAATTTTGTGCTCCAGGGTTGCCTATTCCTCACTGCTGCAAAGATCGGTATTTATGAATTGGAATAATTGTATTGAATCAATTGCTAAATCTGCTGCGGGGAAAGCTGTTTCATTGTGTCGTACTAGACATATTCCTCAGTGGAATCTATCTTTCCTCCTTTATAAGTCTACTATTCGTAAGTGCATTAAATATTGTTGTTATATTTAGTTTGGTGTTTCTGCTATGTATCTAGAGATTCTTTACAAAATCTGAAATTCATGACAAGAATTTCAATGTTATCTGTCTTGACCTGGCATTTCGATTGTCCCACCGCCGTAACTTAGCTTTCTTGGGCCTTTACTATAAATATTTTAACGGCAGTTGTTCTGATGAGCTTTCCTCTTTGCTACTCCGATTTCATGAATTTCAGCGTTGCCCTAGATTAGCACCCAAATCTCATCATTTTACTGTTGGACTTGCGAAATGTAAGCATAAGTTCTTCTCTAATAGTTTCTTTTCTCGCACAACTCGCCTGTAGAACGCTCTTTCAACGTCTTGCTTCTCTGTTAACTACAATCTTAAGAAAATTAAATGTAACTTCAATTTTCATCTTCTGTCTTTTTTAAAACTGTTCATTTATTGTCCTTTCTCCTCAATAAAGTTTTATCAGTTTCTTTCGCTTTTCAGTAAGCTCTTGCGTCTGAGTGTCTTCATCGCCTTGTTTGGAATGAAAGATTAAAAACTTCCAGCAGATAATGTCAGACACTAATATTTGAGGGTGGTCTTTCTATATTGGATGTTGAGCGCTGTATATTTTCAAGGATTTCAATTCTGACGCCGTCTCATCTAACATTATTAATCTCAACTTGGCGGAGATCATAATCAGCATAGTTGTTAGTATCGTAAAAATGTAAAGTATCTGAGCCCAAAATGATTTAAACACACAACATTCTAATCTGGAGTCAGACGCGCTAACGTTGCGCCACAGGGCCTAGACGCCAACACGCATTTTAACTTTACGCTAATATTTTCTTTTGACACTTCTCAGGCAAGTTGCTGTCGCAGCGACAAAATATCAACGACATAACAGTCAGTGACGTTAAAGTGTCAGCGACAAAATATCAATGACATAACAGTCAGTGACGATTCGATCGTCTACTAATTGAACAATTTTACTGTACTGAATAAAATGGGTGAAGTGTGGCTCACTTCAGGAGTATCGTCAAAAAGAGATGAATCTGACCCCGACGTGATTTGAACACGCAACCTTCTGATCTGGAGTCAGACGCGCTACCGTTGCGCCACAGGGCCCAGACACAAAGATTCAACTTAACTTTACTCTATTATTTTCTTTTGACACTTCTCAGGCAAGTTGCTGTCGCAGCGACAAAATATCAATGACATAACAGTCAGTGACGGTTCGATCGTCTACTAATTGAACAATTTTACTGTACTGAATAAAATGGGTGAAGTGTGGCTCACTTCAGGAGTATCGTCAAAAAGAGACGAATCTGACCCCGACGTGATTTGAACGCGCAACCTTCTGGTCTGGAGTCAGACGCGCTACCGTTGCGCCACAGGGCCCAGACACAAGCATACAACTTAACTTTACTCTATTATTTTCTTTTGACACTTCTCAGGCAAGTTGCTGTCGCAGCGACAAAATATCAATGACATAACTGTCAGTGACGATTCGATCGTCTACTAATTGAACAATTTTACTGTACTAAATAAAATGGGTGAAGTGTGGCTCACTTCAGGAGTATCGTCAAAAACAGATGAATCTGACCCCGACGTGATTTGTACACGCAACCTTCTGATCTGGTGTCAGATGCGCTACCGTTGCGCCACAGGGGCCAGACACGAGCTTACGACTTAACTTTGCTCTATTATTTTCTTTTGACACTTCTCAGGCAAGTTGCTGTTGCAGGGACAAAATATCAATGACATAACAGTCAGTGACGATTCGATCGTCTACTAATTGAACAATTTTACTGTACTGAATAAAATGGGTGAAGTGTGGCTCACTTCAAGAGTATCGTCAAAAACAGATGAATCTGACCCCGACGTGAATTGAACACGCAACTTTCTGATCTGGAGTCAGACGCGCTACCATTGCGCCACAGGGCCCAGACACATGAATACTACTTAACTTTACTCTATTATTTTCTTTTGACACTTCTCAGGCAAGTTGCTGTTGCAGGGACAAAATATCAATGACATAACAGTCAGTGACGATTCGATCGTCTACTAATTGAACAATTTTACTGTACTGAATAAAATGGGTGAAGTGTGGCTCACTTCAGGAGTATCGTCAGAATGAAATGAATCTGACCCCGACGTGAATTGAACACGAAACCTTCTGATCTGGAGACAGAATCGCGCTACCGTTGCGCCACAGGGTCTAGACACCAAAGTTTCTTTTAACTTTGCTCTATTATTTTCTTTTGACACTTCTCAGGCAAGTTGCTGCCGCAGCGACAAAATATCAATAACATAACAGTCAGTGATGATTTGATCGTCTCCTAATTGAACAATTTTACTGTACTGAATAAAATGGGTGAATTGTGGCCCACTTCAGGAGTATCGTCAAAAAGAGATGAATCTGACCCCGACGTGATTTGAACACGCAACCTTCTGATCTGGAGTCAGACGCGCTAACGTCGCGCCACAGGGCCCAGACACAAGCCTACGACTTAACTTTGCTCTATTATATTCTTTTGACACTTCTCAGGCAAGTTGCTGTCGCAGCGACAAAATATCAATGACATAACAGTCAGTGATGATTCGATCGTCTACTAATTGAACAATTTTACTGTACTGAATAAAATGGGTGAAGTGGGGCTCACTTCAGGAGTATCGTCAAAAAGAGATGAATCTGACCCCGACGTGATTTGAACACGCAACCTTCTGATCTGGAGTCAGACGCGCTACCGTTGCGCCACAGGGCCCAGACACAAGCCTGCGACTTAACTTTGCTCTATGATTTTCTTTTGACACTTCTCAGGTAAGTTGCTGTTGCAGCGACAAAATATCAATGACATAACAGTCAGTGACGATTCGATCGTCTACTAATTGAACAATTTTACTGTACTGAATGAAATGGGTGAAGTGTGGCTCACTTCAGGAGTATCGTCAGAAAGAATGAATCTGACCCCGACGTGAATTGAACACGAAACCTTCTGATCTGGAGACAGAATCGCGCTACCGTTGCGCCACAGGGTCTAGACACCAATGTTTCTTTTAACTTTGCTCTATTATTTTCTTTTGACACTTCTCAGGCAAGTTGCTGCCGCAGCGACAAAATATCAATAACATAACAGTCAGTGATGATTTGATCGTCTACTAATTGAACAATTTTACTGTACTGAATAAAATGGGCGAAGTGTGGCTCACTTCAGGAGTATCGTCAAAAAGAGAAGAATCTGACCCCGACGTGATTTGAACACGGAACCTTCTGTTCTGGAGTCAGACGCGCTACCGTTGCGCCACAGGGCCCAGACACAAACGTACAACTTAACTTTTCTCTATTATTTTCTTTTGACACTTCTCAGGCAAGTTGCTGTCGCAGCGACAAAATATCAATGACATAACAGTCAGTGACGATTCGATCGTCTACTAATTGAACAATTTTACTGTACTGAATAAAATGGGTGAAGTGTGGCTCACTTCAGGAGTATCGTCAAAAAGAGATGAATCTGACCCTGACGTGATTTGAACACGCAACCTTCTGATCTGTTGTCAGATGCGCTACCGTTGCGCCACGGGGGCCAGACACGAGCCTACGACTTAACTTTGGTCTATTATTTTCTTTTGACACTTCTCAGGCAAGTTGCTGTTGCAGCGACAAAATATCAATGACATAACAGTCAGTGACGATTCGATCGTCTACTAATTGAACAATTTTACTGTACTGAATAAAATGGGTGAAGTGTGGCTCACTTCAGGAGTATCGTCAAAAAGAGATGAATCTGACCCCGACGTGAATTGAACACGCAACTTTCTGATCTGGAGTCAGACGCGCTACCGCTGCGCCAAAGGGCCCAGACACAAGCCTACGACTTATCTTTGCTCCATTATTTTCTTTTGACACTTCTCAGGCAAGTTGCTGTTGCAGCGACAAAATATCAATGACATAACAGTCAGTGATGATTCGATCGTCTACTAATTGAACAATTTTACTGTACTGAATAAAATGGGTGAAGTGTGGCTCACTTCAGGAGTATCGTCAAAAAGAGATGAACCTGAACCCGACGTGATTTGAACACGCAACCTTCAGATCTGGAGTCAGACGAGCTACTGTTGCGCCTAGTCGCTTAACTTCTAACTACTGTACTGAATGAAATGGGTGAAGTGTGGCTCACTTCAGGAGTATCGTCAGAAAGAAATGAAATTGACCCCGACGTGATTTGAACACGCAACCTTCTGATCTGGAGTCAGAATCGCGCTACTGTTACGCCACAGGGTCTAGACACCTAAGTTTCTTTAAACTTTACTCTATTATTTTCTTTTGACACTTCTCAGGCAAGTTGCTGTCGCAGCGACAAAATATCAATGACATAACAGTCAGTGACGATTCGATCGTCTACTAATTGAACAATTTTACTGTACTGAATAAAATGGGTGAAGTGTGGCTCACTTCAGGAGTATCGTCAAAAAGAGATGAATCTGACCCCGACGTGATTTGAACACGAAACCTTCTGATCTGGATACAGAATCG